GCGCCCCCCGCCGACGGCCACGCGACCTCCGGTCCCGCGCCGCCCGGCTCGCCGCCGCACCACTTCCACCCGGGCCGCCGGAAACGCGACAACAAGGCCAGCACCTACGGCCTCAACTACCTGCTGTCCGGCAGCCGCGGCGAAGCGGGCCCCGGGACCCCGGCGCCACGGCCCGGCACGCCCTGGAAGAGCCGCGCGTACGGCCCGGGTATCCAGGGGTGAGTGCCCCCGGGGGGCGTCATCCTGGGGGAGAAGGCGGGGGGTGTCATCCCGGGGGGCTTCATCCCTGGGGAGTAGGCGGAGGAGCCGTCATCCCTCTGGGGGTCATATTGGAGAGGAGGCGAGGAGGATGTCATCCCAGGGGAGAAGGCGAGGGGTGCTTCATCCCGGGGGGACTTCATCCCCGGGTAAGCGCAGCCCCAGAGGGCGACATTTCGGGGGGGGCGTACCCGGGGAGGGGCGAGCGGGGAGGGGAATGCCATTCTGGGGAGGGCGTCATTCCAAGGGAGGGGATGGAAGACGCATCATCCCGAGGTGGGCGTCATCATTGAGTGCGTCCCGTCCCGAATGGGGGATGGGGAGGGGGCATCATCCCGGGGGGAGTGCGGCGGGGAGGTGGGCAGCAGGTCACCGGGAGGGAGGAGGCCGAGGGGGGCATTATCCCAGATGAGAGCGGCGGAGTGTGTGTCATTCAGTAGTGCAGGCTTGGGGATTGTCACCCGGGGTGGGCTGAGGGAGGTGTTATCCCGGGGGGAGAGTTGCCCCGGGGGGTGTCATTTAGCGGGGCGACGGGGAGCGGGCATGGGGCGTCATCCAGAAGGGTAGAGGGCGGTGTCCCAGGAGTGCGGGCAGTGGGCGGGGCGTCATCCCCGGGACGTGCGGGCTTGGGGGGGCATTATCCCCGGGGGAGGTGCGGGCCATGGGGGAGGGGGCATCATCCCTTGGGTTTTGCGGGCCAGGGGGGCGGGGCGTCAACTAGAGGGATGGTGGGCGGGCGTCATCCGGGGGTGAGTCTGAGACGGGGGCGGGGCGTCATAGCTGCGTGAGTGCGGGACTGAGGAGGGGGCGTCATCGCACAGGCTTCCCACCCCACTGGCTTTCACCCCGCCGGCTTTCACCCGACCGTGGCAGCCGCCGCCGCCGCCGCCAGCGGGGTCCTGATTCATTTCTAAGAAGGAGGCTGAATTTAAGGCCAAGACCACAGCTGCACTAAAAATTGTTCTTTTTTTTAAATTTTAAACTCTGTATATAAATGACTGATCGGCCCAGATCGTGGAACTAACAGTGCAAGAAAGGGGCTGCTGAGTCCCAACTGTGCAGAGAATTCATTTCCTGCCTCTTGACCCAGGGCAGGGAAATGGATAGTTTCGTTTTTCCTTCTCCACCGAGTTAAGGGCCTTTGCCAGAGTGGGGTGCAGGTAGGTATGGAATCTTATGTAAGTTAAATCAAAGAAGTGTGGAATCTTATATAAGTTAAACAAAAGAATGTTTTAGTGTTGCCAGAAACTTGAATCAGCTGGAGAGTAAACAGTTAACTTTTTCTTTTTAAAAAAGCCCCATTAAAAGGTGACTGTGGTTGTAGTGATACAATGTAACCAAAATGAATTTCGAAGTGTTGCTATGAGTCCAGAGGGACTGATGGCAAAGGGTATTTTTGGGTTTTGTATGTTAAAATTTAATTTTGTTCAGGAATTAATTTTAAAAGTGCCCTCTGCAGTATTTTGAAACTGGCCAGTGGCATTCAAAGGAAATAAAAACATCATACATATGGATTTTTTTGACGAATAGTATACTATCGGAAAATGCCATCTTTTAAAAAAGCATCGTCACTTCAGCCTAGAGAGAAGTTCCGTTTAAACTTAGTGCGGTGGCTGGCAGTGGGTGAGGTGAGGTGCTCAGGTGTTCTGCTGCTTACCCTCCGGCTTTGCCTTCCTGTGCTGTCCTGGGGTCTAGAAACAAAGTATTTGTACATAGGTTTCACATCAATATTTCAAGACTTTAATTGTAAATTTTCCTTGCATACTTTCATTCAGAGTTATAAGGCATATTGGTTATTTTTTAGTGCGTTAGGGTCGTTAGAGACCCTCCAAAAAGAAAACAAAACAAAACAAAAACACCAGACTCATTGCTCCGGTGTTGATTCCGACTCAGAGTGACCCCGTAGCACAGAGTAGAACTGCCCCATAGAGTTTCCAAGGAGTGGCTGGTGGATTCGAACTCCTGACCTTTTGGTTAGCAGCTGTAGCTCTTAACCACTATGCAACCAGTTTCCAACAGATACCCACAATTGCTGGATACTGGGAACTGTGTCTTAAAGTACACTTTTTTCCCTGATCAGAGCCTTATTTCTCCTTTGAAGTATGATGGCAGCATGGACATTGACACTGACTTTGAAGTGCCTGCGATACACTGTGGGAGCTGGGCTCTGGGACTTGCCTCACCTGGTTTGGGTTAGAAGTGTTTCTTTCTTAACGTCCCTGACTCCGGGGCCTGAACTGAGTGAGAGCCCCGGCTCTGCCCCTTCCCTCTCTGCCTCCATTCTCACTCCTGGGACTCTTGACAAGGCAGAGCAGGTCCTTCCTGAGTGTGACGACAGACTTGAGGGCTCTTCTGGGAGCACCAGCAGGTTTCCCGCCACAGGACTGGCAAAGACTCCGTGTCTCCGGCCATCAGCAAAGGGCGACCTGGGGTCCTTCTTGTAGCGCCTCGTCTCAGGCTGCGCCACGGTGCCCTGGGCAAGCCTGCGTCTTCTCATCCATCACCTGCAGGCTTCTGGTAGATGATGTTGCCATTGTTTTTGTTAATAGACGAGCCCATTGCAGGCCAGGTCTGTGTTAGGTTTGGGGGTGGGCTGTGAGAACGCACACTCATGATGATCCTGACCCCTACATCCAGCTCTCCTCTGTCGAGGGCTCCCTGCCTGGCACACACGTGCACCATCTGTGCAGGCTGCACCCCAGGAGCCCCCACACCCCACCATCCCCTAGGTCCTGCCCCCCGGCCTCCATGCTGCCTCTGGCTGTCAGGGCCTCTCCTGGAGGCTCCTCATGTAGCCTGCCCCTTTCCCAGCACCGTGCAGACAGGCTGCTCTCGCTGTCCAAGGTGGGTCAGGTGTCCCCTACCCCCTGCTCCCCGAGGCTAAAGAAGAAAGGCTGAAACTCTCAGGGGAGCCCCCAGGGCTTGGTCTGCCCCCTCTGGGAACTCAGAGGCACTGGCGTGGGGGTTCAGAGTGGGAGATGCTGCTGTGAGCTCGTGGGGACCTGGCTGGCTGTACCCTTCTTCCTGCGGGGCTACCTCGAGCACACACCCCTCCAGCAGCTCCTGTCTGCCTGTGGTATCACAGGGCCTCAGGCACAGCCTCGGGGGCCCTCCTCTGTTCCCCTTGCCTAGAGGAGCTGCTTCTGGGCTTGCCTTCTCTGTGCCTGGAGGGGCACCCCCTCCAGCCTGCAGTGGGCAGGTGAGGGCGAGAGGGCCCTATGGTCTGTCCTGGAGGGTCCCGCCCCCAACCCTCAGCCTGTAGTGGGCAGATGAGGGAGGGGGGCCCTGTGGTCCTTCCCAGAGGGTCCCGTCCTACACCCCTTCAGCCTGCAGTGGGCAGGTGAGGGAGAGGGGGCCCTGTGGCCATTTCCTGGTGGCCGGCTGCTCTTTGAAAATGACCCCGTGCAGACACCCACAGCCCCGGGCCAACCTAGCTGCGGTTCAGGTTTGAACTTTGGAACACTGCCGTGTCTCAGGGACGCCGGCACCGTTTGGCAGCAGTATTTCACTTCCTCCCTGAAGACCCCTCAGCAGTACTTAGTTTAGGCTTTTAAAGCCTTGTCTTTCCCGAAAGAAAATCCTGCTCTTGTCTGAAGTTCGTGTTGGCCTTCAGACGGGGTTTGCCGGCCCGCAGGACCACCTGGCGGTCATCCCTGATTCCATGCCTGCCCCCTTCGCTCTGTCCTGGTGAGGACAGTCCCCCTCCCTCTGGCTCCCCAGGGGGACTGGGTGCGCACAGTGACCTACCCTGGTAAGTCCTGCGAGGAGCCGAGGGGCAGGCACAGGTGAAGGCCCGGCGTGGCCGCCGCATAGCCGGGGAAATCAGTTTAGGTGCCTTCTTACTCCACCCACTCCCTGTAAGTGTGAAGGAGGCCGGGGACGGTCTCCACGGTGTCTGCCTCCAGGGGGGAGGGTGGCACCTGTGGGCCTCATCTTCTGGCCCATCCTCTGATACCTTGCAGGTAGAGGTCTCCCAGGAAGCAGAAATGACCGTGCTGTGGGGCCGATCGCTACCAACCTGACCGCCGTGAACTTAGCTCCCACTGGGGCCTTCCTCCTTGCTAAGTGGTAATCAATCACGTCTGCTTGCTTCTGCCTTCCCGCCCGGCTAGCCTGTCTGCAAAGTGACACTGAAAATCCCACAAGGGATGCTGGCTCTTAAGTGGAGGAAAGTTAGGTGGGAAACTGCTGAGACCCTGCGCCATCACCTGGAGGGGACTGGCAGAAGTAGACGGGGGCGTGGGGACAAGGAGGAGACTGCCCAGGAGGAGGGCGTGGACGCTCAGAACAGTGCCAGATGAGACAGGCCTCTGGGAAGGTGGAAGGCCCCACATTCACGTGCAGAAGTGGCCCTTCTTCATGAGCCCGACGGGCAGTCGGCGGTGAGGGGAGTCAGCCCGCCTCTGCTGGGCTGTCAGCCAGCTCGCCCCTCGGAGGGATAGTGCACGGTTATGATTTATTTTTTTTAAAACGAGTGAGACAGCCTTCCCCCGTTTTAAGGCCTGTACTTTCAGGTGAGGTCACTGTTTCATATGAAATTCTGGCCCTCATTTTAAGTGGGTTTGTCGGAGTCGCCTGGGGGTGGGAGGTGGCAGTTGACCTTGGAAAAAGGACTTTCTGTGCCTTGGTTAGGTCCCCGTGCTTCCGGATCGGGTTTGTAGGTTAAACAAGCAGTGTTGTCGTCAGAAAACGAAGCTGTGATGTTGGACGAGTCCAGCTACTTCCTCCGGAGATTTCTGTACTGCGTGTGTTGCTGTGGGACAGATCACCTCAGACTTGGTAGTGCAAGTCAGCACCCACTTTCTGTCAGTGTCGTGGGTGAGAGGTCAGCCTGACCGGCTGGCTTCCCTGCTCAGGCCTTCCCGGGCTGAAATCCAGGTGTCTGGCCGCCTTCTCAGCTGGAGCTCAGCTTCTCCTGCAAGCTCATTCCTGTTACTGCAGAATCCAGTTGCTGCAGTTG